GTAAGCCAAAGAGTCTTTTTGCTGAACTGATCCTGGGCAAAAATGCCACCTAGGCACCATTTATGGTGCCTTCACCATATCCCCATATGTTTTTGTGGTAACAGCAAATGTGCAGCCAACTTTGTGGGGACAGAGCGGAGAAGTGCTCTTCCTCAAGGTTCTTTCCCTCTCCTTACTGGATTCTTCTCTAGGTACAGGGACAGAATGGGGAAAAAATGAGAACAAGAGTGAGAGGGAACAAAACAGGCAAATGACAGAAGGTAAGTGGAGAGAAGTGCAGTCTAAAGTTTAGAGAGGGAAGTTTTTAAAAAATCACTACAACATGTGGGCTGAGTGTCTTTTTTAGGTCATTATGTTGGAATGAGAGCAGTACAATCATTGCTGTCATTCCTTTTGTCTTTCTTACTGCATTCGTTTTCTGTGTGCAACTGTATTTCTTCATTAATTCTTGCCAGACTCTTCAGCATTTTAGCCAAGTCTTTTGACTATCTTTCTTGCCCAACATATGAATAGGCCTTTCTTGAGCATGCAAACTGTTGTGCAAACTGTGGTTTTCTTTTCGCAGTGGGAACTAGGTAACTTCAGAATAATTAGCTGAAATTTCCTCCCCTCCCCTCTTTTTTTAAAGACAATTCCTCGTCTCTCCAGGAAGATGAAGAGATAGATATGGAGGCTGTCAACTGGCAGCTGAACACCACCTCCGTGAATGGGCATTCATCTACCCCAACTACAGTTCGCTTCCCGAGCTGGGTGACTTTTGATGACAATGAAGTCAGTGTTTCACCACAGAACCTTTCTCCCTCAAAAACAGATGCCCCACCTGCAGAAACACAGACTCCAGATGTTAACTTTAACCTCATTGCATCCTTTAAGAAAAGAGAACGTCCTAAAAGCACATTGGGCGACCTCTCCAAAATTCAGAAACTAGATCTCTCCTCCTTAACCAAGTTGCCTTCTGTTGAAACACCACCATGGAGTGCTACTAATCCCTTCCTGGATGAATCTCTTCGAGATGTCCAGCCCTCACCCATCAATCCATTCAGCTCATTCTTTGAGGAGCGAGACAGGCGTTCCAAAAGCTCTTCTGTCTCCAGTGCTCCAGGCAAAAGCCAAAGAGACTCTCTCATTATTCTCCATCAAGAACCTGATACCATCAGTTTCCATGAGACAAACAAAAGTGAAACCCACACAGAAGCTGTAGAGCAGCTCAAGCAACTCCAGATTGGAGACCCAGATCGTGTGAGCAGCCCTACCTTGCCTGATGATGACCCCATGATGCCATATGATCTGGATGCAGCCTTATTTAACCTGGCACCAGCTCAGCCAAAGGATGGATGGCCAATGATGCTCAGGATCCCAGAGAAGAAGAATATTATGTCATCCAGGCACTGGGGACCAATATACGTCAAGCTGACTGACAGTGGATGTATACAGCTTTTTTATGAGAAAGGACTGGAGAAACCTTTCCGGGAATTCAAACTTGAAATCAATCATGAGATTTCAGAGCGCAAACTCCAGAACTATGATGAGAATGGAAGGATACACAGTGTGCGGTTGGATCGCACAACCTACAAGGAGAAAAAGAAGTATCAGCCTAAGCCAGCCATTGCTCACACAGCAGAGAGAGAGCAAATTATCAAGCTTGGGACTACAGATTATGAAGACTTCCTTAGCTTCATCAATGCTGTACAAGAGACATTGATGAACTTGCCAGCCTCATCAACAGATCTGAGCACAGTGGGACTAAACTATCAAGAAGAAGAAATCACAGTTGATGTCAGGGATGAGTTTCATGGCATCTTGGCCAAAGGAGACAGTGTGATTCTCCAGCACAGTGTGCTGACCCATATCTATGTTCTCAGCTTCCTTTCTGGCCTGGCAGAGTGCAGACTGGGCCTTAATGATATTCTGATCAAAGGGAATGAAATAGTTGCAAGGCAGGATATTATGCCCACTACTACCACTAAGTGGATTAAATTATACAGCTGTCGGTTCCATTCATGTGTGGATGAGGATATGTTTAATAATTCCCGTATTATCCTGTTCAACCCTTTGGATGCCTGCCGGTTTGAACTGATGCGATTCAGAACTGTCTTTGCTGAGAAAACTTTGCCTTTTACCCTGAGGACGGCTGCCAGCATCAATGGTGCTGAGGTGGAGGTGCAGAGCTGGCTGATGATGTCCACTGGGTTCTCTTCCAACCGTGACCCTTTAACTCAGGTCCCTTGTGAAAACGTGATGATCCGCTACCCAGTGCCAAACGAGTGGGTGAAGAACTTCCGCAGAGAGAGCGTTCTGGGGGAGAAATCTTTGAAAGCCAAGGTGAACAAGGGGGCCACTTTCGGATCAACCAGTCTGTCTGGTTCTGAGCCAGTGATGAGAGTGACTTTGGGAACTGCCAAATATGAGCATGCCTTTAATTCCATCGTATGGAGGATAAACCGACTGCCTGACAAAAACTCAGGTGAGTGGTGCATACCATCTCTGCAAGAGTAAACTAAAAGGAGTTACATATTTTGGAATATAGATAATACTGGGTTTACATAGTGAGGGATAAATCATCCTCTGTTGTGTATCAAAGGACATCACTTGCATGAAGCATTTATCTAACCCTTCATTGCAGTAGTTTTATGTATCCTACAAACATTAATAATGATAAAAACAGGTTTAGGTTTTCTGGATGCAAAAATACACCTTCTGTCTCTGCTTTTATGAGTACACTATGGGGCTTAGGCATCAAACACCTCTGTGTGCTTGGCACTGTAACTGGAAGCAGGACTTTTTCAGATAACTTGCAAGAAGATACTATGCTACGGGGCTGAATGACAGGACCAGATAAATTGCTGTAGTTCCAACACATATGATTTCTTTTCCATGCATTGCCAAGCATACTTGGCCAGTGCTATATATTTCAGCGTATATACCACTACTAATGCCAATAAAGTATCTGGAATGGGGACTGTAAGAGGACAGAAGACATTATGCAACCATTAAGAAAAAAGAAATTTCCGAACACCAGTTCATGGCTATGTTTCTTTAATCAGTGCAGACAGGTAAATACAGCTTAAACCTGAAGAGAGAATACAAACATAAACCCCACAAGTCTTTCTATTTCTAGTAACATGTTCATAATTAAACATTCAAATAATATGGGCAAGCTACCGTTCCCTTTGGCCATCACTGCCAGTCATTCCATTTCCTGCGTTTCATCCATGGTTCCAATAAAGCTGAGCAACTCAGGTTTATTTTTATTTGTAGTGAATTCTGCTTCTTGATTTCTCTGCTCTAGACTAGCTTTTTACAAATGAGACGGACTTGTTAGTATTAATGCTGTAGTAATGCAGCTGGATGACTGGGAGGGTTTCTGTAGCCAGTGTTCCCTGAAGGAAAGTTCAGTGTTGTACCAGATTTGGTACTTTCTAAGGACATATGTTTTTTCCTGAGTTTGAGCTATAGTGTCAGCAAAACAGTGATCTAAGTATTTTAATCTTTCTGATCACATTTCGGCCAAAGACGACCAGCTTACACCATAAGTTACAAATGTGGATGGATATCACTGACAAAAGTGACAAAAGGCTCCATGTTTTCTGGAGTGCGGGGCGAAAGAAGAGAGAGCTTGGGAACTCAAGAGAAATATCGCAATGAAAAATTAACCTCGGGCTGTTTATGAGCAATAACATGCTTGTGAGGAAAATCTCACTATGCCATCTGCATGAGCTCTGGGAACGAGATGCTGTGAAATCGGGCCTTCTGTGGCATCTTCTCTCCAAAGATCTCAGTATACTGTATAGACATTACAGCTGGGAAAACAAAAGCCCCCAGACTTTAACAGAATCACAGAACATGCCGGTAGCAAACCAGGAAAAGAGGCAGCCCTCCTGGCTCTACTGCCTCCTGCGAGGGGATGCTCCCTTACCCATTGCTACTTAGAGGGAGATGTTGATCTATGTCTCTTGTTTCCTTGATCCCATCTCTCCCAGTGTGAGGCTTTATTATATATACCCTGTGTCGGGCAGAAATGCATCACAGACTTGGCGCTGCTGTTGGAGCCCTGCCACAGAGCATCTATCCATCAGTGTCACTGTGTGGAATGCAGGTCAGTTAGTATTTGTTTACATCCTGAGAGGAAGAAAGTGTCCTCACCCCTCCGGTCAGGTCAGATGTAATTTCAGGGAAAGGAAGGGCCTTGCAAGCACTGTCTTGGCCAGGATGTATGAGGTATGTGAGAGGGAGGGAATCCCAAAGTGATGACAGGGCAGGCCAAGTGTAGTTGAAATCTGGCCTTGCCTCTCAGGGACTATTTACATTTCCTGACGGTACTTGTCCCATGGTTTTCCTTATGGAAAGTATATGGCAAACAGAGAGGGATATAAATGGTACTCGAAAGCATTGATTCCTGCTCCTTCTTAGATTTGCCTGATGGACCACATACACTTCTGACCATGTTATACTGATGTGTGGTCTACTCCCAAGCTTGTGCATCCTTGGCTGTATCCAGCCCTACCCATAAGTCGTATAATACTTCACCTCCACCTATTTGCAGAAGTCCCTATAAATTATGCAGTTCTCAAGCATTAAGTATAAAAATGTTCCCTTGACTCGCACTTCATGCTCTCTTACTGTGGCACCTGCAGCTCTGCCCTAAGAGCGCTCTGGGTCTTCTGTAAATGTCTGGTCTGCTGCTGAACTGCTCTGGTGCCTGGGACTCCAGAGCAGGAGAGAGGTAGAGGCATCGCACTGCAGCTGGGGGGAAGTGCTGCAGGTGGCCACAGTCCAGCTCCACCCTGCCTCCAGAGGCCACGCAACCCATCCACATGACCTGGGGTATATGCATTGCATGACTCCCTCCAGCACATGTGCCTATCTGCCAGCCCCCTGTACCTATCAGAGGAGCACATAGATATGCACACCCTACAGGACCCTTCATCCATCCATCCATCCATCCATCCACCCACGTTGTGTGCTCTAACACATCAGTCCCTTGCAAATGCAATCCCAAGAACTCGAGAGGTCTCCAGTTAGCCATGTGGACCTCTTGTGCTTCCCTCCATTCCCTGAATGCAAACTGGTGCAGGCTGTGTGTAGATGTGAGGTGTATGACACCATCAGCCGTGCCTGTGGTCTGCCCTGACAGCCAGTACCACAGCAGGGGAGGAGAGCCGGTCCCCCCTGAAGCTCACTGCTAGCATTCGAGTTGTAATATTCCAGCACCCAATTTATTAAGAATTATTTCAGCAGCTTCACTGTCTTATCAAATTATTTTCTTTGTGCTTTCTAATGCAATGGGGCCCTTTGCACTCTCACTATAGGAACTTTTTATCAGCACTGTCTGTCTGTATTATTTAGTAGCCAAAGCGTGTGCCTGTGACTGGACGTTGAAAAGCATATGTCAGATGAAGGACTGTGTGTACTCTGACTATGATTTGACTTAAGAAGAAGCTATGGACTGGACTCTACTGAGCACATTGCTGAAATCCTTTCAAAAATAGCTTGTTAAACTTTGTTGCCCTTCTCATATTCATAATTAATATGATCAAAGCAGTTGATAAAGAAAACCTATTTACAGGCTCTGCAGAGTTTCAGTTGCAGCTGGCTGGACTCCACGTTTATTTTGGGGTTTTTTTTAAGCCACCAGCAGAATATTAGGAAAACATCCACTCGGTCTTCAATCATGGGAAAATGCTCTTCCAGCAAAGCAGGGATGTAGTAGCCTCTATGCAGAGCGTTGGACCTGGATATTTGAACTTTAGTTTGGCTGTGGATCCCAGGCCTGCTGCCTGGTATACTTTCTGAAGTAAATTAAATCCTTTAATCCAAACATGTTGGGACATCAGAGTAATTTGGAACAGATTCCCTCCAATCACGGTACCCCATGTATATATATTTATGAATTATATTATCAGATCCTTGGTTTTGAGAATGAAATGTTAGTAGCAAGCAATGTAAAACAAAAGCAGTCTGTTGATTTTCTCCTGATTTTACTAAAAAGTATACCTGTCCATTAGAGCTCTGAGTGAACCTGTTGAACAAACAAAGTCTATAGAAGTTGTGCCTTGTGTGCCTCACACTCAGAACACTAATGAACACTGATGTGATTGGTATTTTTGCTATAGCTTTGGTGGAAGAGTTGCTTTCTTAATCAGTTCACCTGGTTGCTTGCCACGCTGAGCTGGTTTAAATTAATAACTTCCATATTTTTTTGAGCGCTGTGCATGGTCTTTTCTGTTAGTGAGTACTCCTAGTAGAAGAAATCAGAGAGAGATTCCAGGTCGCACTAGAACCAGGTTAACTGAGTCAGCACTCTGCTTGGGATAATTAATCTTGATGAAAAGCAGGTCATGTATTTTAATGCTTGCAGAACTCAAGCTTTTATATCTGCTTGATACTGCACCCACTCATTCATTACTTGGCTCCAGCTGTGGTGCTGCATGTCTCAGCTGAACTGCATAGCCTCTCATTGGCTTTGCTGCACGGACATAAGTTTATAAACTTTCCAGTTGTGAGGAAATGCTGCCTAGACAGTTTGGAAGTATGAGGCTGACTCTAGATGAAATTTTTACCCAGACTTACACTGAGTTGAATTTTTTTTCCAACTCTTGTTTCAGAGGCTAAGTTGGATGTTGCAATCCCTAAGCCCTCTAAAGACTGTTCAATTTCATCCTGTTGGGACAAGAAATATCTCAAAATCCCACAGCTTGCTTTTCAAGCTTCAGCTCAACAAGGCTGGCTTTTGGCCTAAGCTCTGGATGAGGACCTGACTTCCTTTTAAAGGCCCAGGCTTGCAAGTCCTTCACAGGCAACGTGTTCCTCCTCTTCCCAGGAAGAGCTTCTGCGCTTTCACCACCTGGTTCTTTTTACTCTGCCTGCCTTCCTCCTTCCTTGTCTCTGTCCTGTACACCTTGCTGAGCTGTGTGGAGAACTTCCCCAGTGAACAAGTAGTTAGAAATCCTGAAGTTTGTAATAGTGGCAGACAAGGATGCTGTTCATTTATTTATACATTACTTTCATTTACACATACTTAGATAATAGGATCCCTCCAATCAGAAAGCCCAAGATGGCTTTGAAGGCTCCCATCCTCATTTTGCAGACAGAGAAACTGAGGCGCAGACCTTAAATGACTTGCTCAAGAGCTTAGGGACTTGGCAGCAATCAGAAATAAAACCAACCTAGCTTGACTAGCAGTCCTTACTTTTAATTTGTAAACATCAGTGCTGTCCAGCAAAACAAAAGGGGAAAAATAATAACAAAGGTTATCATTTACAGATGACAGCTAAACATGATTACTTCTTCACCTTGCCATCTGTAATGACTAGCCACCTTGTCATGGGTTAGAGTAAGGAATAAACAGTTATCTCCAAGTTGTGCACAAATTTGCTTTTTGAACCCAGGCAAGTTATTTAACCTTATCCAGTATATTTTCTTTTGCTAAAATTGGGGTTAACAATTTCAAATAAACGTGAAATATCTGCCAAATCCCACCTTTCCTTACTGTCAGTACATGACATTTCAGAAGGATGTGCCACGACGTACTTAGCATGTTACATACACTGGGGGAATCAGAAGAGGAGAAATACCTTTACCCTGCTGTTCTTGATTTACGTCTTATATTTTCACCCGCGCAAAGCAAACTAGAGTGATTGGCAGTCCTTTTTGCAGTTTGTTTAATTCCTCTGGAAACTCCAACAGCATTGAAACAGGTAAGAAGATACTGTCACTTGCTATGAACTAGTTCACCCAGGCAGAATCTTGGTTTCTTGCAGTTCCATGATGTTGCTTCCTCCTAGATGTTGTGTTTTCTGATCCATCCAACACAACTTTCATGTCTGTTTGCTCTCTTTTTTCCAGCTTCTGGCCATCCTCACTGCTTCTTCTGTCACCTAGAGCTTGGCTCTGACCGGGAAGTGCCTTCCAGTTTTGTCCGCTATGTCGATGTGGAATTTGACATGCCCACCACTTCTGCGTCCAAAGCCACTGTTCGGTCCATCTCTGTTGAGGACAAGACTAACGTGAGGAAGTGGGTCAACTATTCAGCACACTACAGTTACAAGGTAAAACCAAGCATGTGGCAATCACCCTGGTTACTTTGCATACTTCATTGTCTTGAAAAGTGTGGGCAGACAAATAAATTACCACGGGCAAATGAGGTGGGAATTTGGCACATGCCAGGGTCTGTGCAGCAGCTACCCAGGTGCAGCCTATTGATTCATGGCAAACAAGCAGTGGATTATCCCTCAGCAAAGATGGAATAAACTTGCTTGCAGTTGCTTTGTGGAAGAGCATACGTGCAGCCAGCTACCGGGGTAAGAGTGTGAATAGGGAGTTTTGCTGCTTTTCAGGGCAAATGCTACGGTGGGAGTGCTACAGCAGACAAAAAGATCGCATTACTTCTCTGCTTAAGTATTTCTTCTATCTGCCTGCTCTAAGGAGAGGAGCAGATGGGAAAATGCACTACGTATATACCTGCCAAGAATCTCAGTATGCCAAAATTTGCATGTTAGCTGATCACTCAGCAGAGAAATTGGCATCCTACCTGCCTTTTTCAGGAGCAGTGATGAGAGACACTGAAAAGATTCTCATGGCAAATATTTTAAATGGTAATTGTAATTACATTTTTAGTACTCCCTTAAATTTCCTGGAGATGATATTTGATCTTCTTAAGTATCCCTTTTAAGAATTAAACATTGGATTATCCCTGAGTTTTCAGAGTTGTTGAAATTTAGAACACAAATGTAGATGTGCATTTTGAAAATTAATCTCTTTGCTTTATACATCAGTCTTTGCAGAGTTTAAAATTGAGGCTGGTCTTCTGCTGTCACTTAGGAAGCCACCTATCCTCTGCAGATTTGGTTCTGAGTTTGGATTCAAAGTACAGATGGGGATGGTAATGAATATAAAATCTTGTGAGACCGATTCTCTGCATGACATTATCTCTTCTGGAAATGATACCATGACACGGTTGAATTGTAAAACTGTTTGGATTAGACTGGAAACACTTACACTAAATAAAATCCAGCTTTCCCTCCTCAGTCTATTTCCCTTCAGAACCCTCTCCGTTTACCAAAAGTTTCTTCACCTGAGCAGGACATGAACTGCCACTAAGGAAGATTTTTGAATCTTTTGTCTTCCTTTCTCATTACAAATATTCTCCTCCTTTTCCCTCTGCCAGGTCGAAATAGAGCAGAAAAAAAGCTTGAATGAGGATCTGAAGGGAGAAGATACTGCAAATGTCAATGAATGTGCCACGCAGTGAAGGAAGATCAATCTGCAAGTCCCAAGGGGGGTGGTCAAATTAACAGACCTGGAAGAAAGGACTTGCAAGGTTTTGGTATTTTTCTTTAAAAAAGTATGGAGTACTACTTTTAAAACAATGCTCTGAAGAGTATTATTTTTCCTTGTGATGATCCGTACTTTGAGAAGAAGCTTGTCAGTGGTTTGTTTGGAGTGGACCCATGGGCTTTTGCTGGAACGATTTAAGTACAGTTGGGGTATAGACAGAATGACTCATATTACAGTCAAGCCTGCCTTTTCTGCCTCTTCACCATCTTGGTTCTGCACTGAAGTATGGTCTGGCCACCATCACAGCCAAACCAGAAAGCAGCCTTTATCTTACTTGCAATTTTGCCCTCCTACATTAAGCATTATTTTTTGTATGCCTGTTGGTTTGGTTATTGGCAGATTCAGTTCCTTCTGAACTGCCAAATAAAACCCAGGGAGCATCGAGTGTAAAAATGATACAAAATTTCGTTTCTGAAGTGGTCAACAGAGTGAAAAACCTGAGCATCATTCTGGAGAATCAACAAACTCTGCATCTTAAACATAGTAAATGGTCAAGCAGATGAACTACAGACAGGACAGCTAATCACGTAGCTGTTCTTCTATTCACCCCTTCCAGTCTCATCCCCTGAATGACAACATGTCATTGTGCACATTTTTGTGGGGTCTGCACAAGTTACAAGAAAGCCTGTGTAATTTCTTTAAAATTTTGTTAGTCTGGGCTGTTCTGTTAGCTTGACTGAACGTGGTTATGGCTGCTAGTAACAGGGAATGTGTCTTATAATAGAGGTGATACAGGAGGGACTTTGCTAAGATTAGATCATTCCTGCCTAGAAAGATATTTAAGTGAAAAGCATTGGGGTTTGGGGTTGGGGTTGGGTTTTTTTTATATGTTTTCTTGGATGGGTAAGGTGGGTGGTTATTGAAAATGTCAGAACACGATTACTTTAACAGACAATGTTGTTTACCTTCCTGAGAATCCTTGGAAATCTGTCCAGCGCAATATTACCTTCATGTTCTACCTTGAACCTACAATATAAGTAACTTGTATCTTTATAAAACTCCCACTACCTGGGAAACAAAATCTCTTTTCAGAGATTAACAACAAGCTTCCATCACGGATAATTTTTTATCGCCACTTAGCTGAAAGTAACAGCAAGTCTTAAAACGTCTCTCTAAATTAAAATGCAGAAGGCAAAAATCACTCATTCATATATATTTTCAGAGAAAACATTGTTTAAAGTACCAGTTTTTTGGTAGTTGTTTCCATGGCTTGCGTAATATTTTGTCTTCAGGTAATTTTAAATGTAAAAAAAGTAATTTATTAAATCATTTATCTTTTGAGAGGTTACTGCTGACTTTAAAATCACACATTTGGAAAGCCTTGGCAATGTAATTTAAAATCATAATGAATTAAAATGAAAGTTTTTTTATAAAGTTAAAAATTTATTTTACATTTCATATAGCAGAAAATTAATACACTGTCAATTTACTACTTTCACTGTGACTCCTATAAAAATCACTACAATGTTAAAATCCCAAATAAAACATGAGATTAATTACACTGAGTCTAAAACCGGTAGCAGTAGAATTTAAAATAAATTCTAGGGAACTTCTAAATGCCTTTTTACATGCACCTAAATTTCAGGCCTAGATCAGCCTAGTGATATATATTTACACAGGTATACCACTGTAAATATGTGAAGCCTCAGTCATTCTAGGACTTTTTAATAAGCTTGAAATATTCTGCTGCAGGTAGTCCTACTGAAGCCCAGGTTGCTCCTCGGAGCACACCAGTTAGTACTAAGCATTTGCAACATCTCTCTGTAAATGGAAGAGGGCTATTCACTTTTATTAAGCATTTTGAGATCAGTGGATTAAAATTACTGATAAAGCGTAAAGAGTTATTATGTATTAAATGATGACTTGTACAGATTGTCAAATATCTGAGAGCACAGGGCTGATTTCGTGACTGATTCTCGGCCCTTTTACAGGCTGGCGACTCCTCTCTACAAAATCCATTCTTCTTTTCAAAGGCATTCAGAGAACTTCTGGGTCTTTTTTCTGTTTTTCACAGCAGCTCCTAGTGTACAGTTTCTGAAAAGGACCAGCAAGAAATCCCAACAAAACCAAGCTGAAGGAGTGCCGAGATGTTGCTGAGGCAGCGTGAGAATGTTTTGTGAAAGAAACAGTCAGGAGATTTCCTACTCTCATCTGCTCAGTGTCTGAATTTTTGCCTATTGCCCCCCAGCCCTTGAAAACACAGAGAAGTGATAGCAAATAAACAAAATTATGTTGTTCTCCTTAAAGAGGGGAGAAAATCAAAGGAATATAATTTTCCATCTCTGTTGAATTCTTAAACTATTCGGTCTCTCTCATACTCCAGCCACACAATATTTCATACCCCAAAAACTGAAAGATGAATGTGTTGGAGGTTTCTGGATTAATTTCTCTACTTCTTCATCTCTGATTTTTTTTTTTTTTAATTCAAAGTTAATGAGTGAAAGAAAGAGTATGGGCCTGACTCTGATCTCTCTTATGTAGTTAGTTGTACAACAGAAGTATTTCTTCCAGTTCTCATGGAGTTATGCAGGCAAAAACTAGAAAAGTGTTCTGGGTTTTAAAAAAGCTATTTTAATCCATTCTGATCTCTGGGGAATATTTGGCTGGTGTACCTGCCACTGAATTTTCAAGAGTTTAGGATGAATCCCTTGGCCAGAGTTTCAAAAGATCTTATTTTCTATTGAAGAACTAAAGTAATCTGATTTTTCAAAAGAGCACTAACAACCAAAATCTTTAGAAAAATCTAGCGTTGGTATCGCCCGGTGTCACCACCGCATTAATTTTTCAGTCCAGCACCATTAGCAGTGCTGAGCATTTGAACACCAGGATCCTAAGTGCCCTTTTTGTGGCTTCCACTGTTCTTGCTTGATTAAACAGTGCCAATTTTTCAGTGTTAAGACATTGCCAGTGTATGAACTTTATGTACATGAACCATACATTCTTTATCCATAGGGGGCAGCAGTAATTTCGACAGACTGTTGATGGGGGTAAGGGGAAAAGAGCTGAGAGTTTTGTCAGTTTTTAGAGTAGCGGAGAGGATTTAGATACAAGCTATGCCTGTAGTGGGGATGTTGATTTTTTTTTTTTTTTATCTTGGGGAAAAATCTCTTTGAATAGTTTCAGTTTAATACTCCTTTTGAGAAAGATACAATCACTGTCCTTTGGTTTATTTGAAAGCTTTGTAGTACTCAAACACTCCGTGCAAGAAATGTGCCTTCAAGGTAAGCACACTTCTACTCCCTGAAGCTATTCCCGCTTTCAGCATTCTTTCTATTTCTCATTATGGTTTTGTTTCATTTTTGTACTGTGGTAAGACTTGAGGTATTGCAGGGAATTGTGCCTAGAAAAATAAACAGTCTTTGATCACAAGGGGTAAAGATGAACATCATCTCTGGGCAGCTGAGCTTATTTTAGTGAATGCCTCGTACATTTATTAACTATGGACACTCTGTTAGCAGGGGAAAAGGGGCAAATTCAGCTGAGAAATACTGTAACTGACTGATGTTATTTTTGCCCTTTATTTTATTTAGCTTCAAATTTAGTCATCCTATGAAGTGGACAGATTTTAGGTTCTTCATTGCAGCAGTATAAAAAACATTGCAGAAATAACTTCCTTTTTCTGGTGGGTTGCTGGCTGACATATTTACTTGACAGGACATCCAAGACCTGTTGGTCTACTTGTCCACATGACAGTAGCTGCTAAAACTCCCTCTCGATCAGTCACCTACCAGGATAGAGAGCAGTTGAATGCAAAAGAGCATGAAAGCAAGAGGAAAAGGTGTACAAAGTTCAGCCTGGAGGTACTTACTCTGTTGCTTGCATGAAACTCTCAGTTAATTTCCTTGGCCCTTGAATGCACAAACTAATCAAGCCCTTGATAGGTCACCTCTGTTCCAGAGGGTGAAAAATTCCTTTCAGTGACTCTTAGCAGCTTGTGGGTTTAGCTGTATTCATCTCCAGAACTGGCCAGTGCAAGAATCTGCAGCACACAGAGATCACTTGTGAAGTGATGAAGTACTTACCCTCTTCTGACACTAAAGTTCTATCTACATCATGAGTTGTCTGAGATACGAAATTTTGGGTGATAACAGGCATAGCTGTTCCTAGCCTTCCTGTTTTGTTCAGCCACCAACCCACACATCCATCCATCCATCCTCCCATCCGTCCTACCCCCCCTCCTTCCCTCCCTTTATACTTGCAATTCATTCTTTGCACTATTGACATTCATTGGTTTGATGATTATTTTGTAACATGTTCCTACCTTTTTGTTTTGTAAAATAAGAAAGTCTATACACTGGCTAACTTTGTAGAAGTGGTTTATTTTTTTTCTTTTTATTTTATCAGTTGAAATAGGATGTCATGTTTTGTTTGAACTATGGGAAAACTTAAATAAATGTTAAGATGAAACAGCATATCCACATTTTCACTGTGAAACTGAAGTTCTATGGGGTGTATATTCTGATAAGTCAGAAGTCTTTAATTCAGAAGAGGAAGAGGGAGTATTTTGAATGGCATAAAGGAGGACATAAATTATGGGACTATATACAGAAAAGAGATTATTTCATTTGATCATCCAGACTGAATGATAGACTGCAAAGAAAACGGAGCAGCCCTAGAGCTTGAGCCACATAACTGATGTGTGGAGCAGTGCTGACGTAACATAGAAGAGGAGCCAACATTTGAATGAAGCCATCCTGAAACAAAGTAATTGAGAATTGAAGCTTCTGGTCAGTGGGTCCTACTTCTGTTCGCCGACCGCTAAAGCCAGGAATACATGTGAGGGCGGTGTCTTCTTGTGATCAGAACATCTGTTTGCAAAGCAAGTGTAAGGATAAGGTCTAAACTATTTACAGAGTCCTGCTATGATTCTCTGTGTTCTTTCAAACTTGAGTAAGCCATGTATCATTTCATACA